TTATTCCGCATCAAATATATAGCCGGAGTGATTTTGCAAAAGTGAGAGTGGTTTTATTGATGGTTTTTTTTCGTCTCAGAGGAGGAGTGCGCACCAATGAGGAAAGAGCAAGTAGCAAGTGACTCCGCCTATGCGACTGAAGTGGAACTGCTTTCAGCTGTGTCAAACAAAGCCAACTCACTCTCGAGTAGGTTGTAGGCCTCAGGCCAGATAGTACGAATTTCGTTCTTGATCGATGGATCACATTTAGTGTAAGCCTCATAAAAGTCAGCCATGAGATCGGCTAGGCGATTGGCCATCATATTTGGTGGAACAGAGACAGCTTCAAAGACACGGCCCCACCACTGAAATGGTGCTTTACTTAGGTAAATGAGTGACACACGACCAATTCATACCTAGGATGTGAGTGTGTGTTACTGAGACGTGGATGTTAATACGAACATGCTTCTCGGGTCGCTGCTCTGCTTGGGGAGGGGGAGGGGAGACGTTTTGCATTTTCGCTGGTTCCTTTTGCTAGTTCATGTTAACTAACAGATCTCGCTCTGATGAGACCTATTTTTTGTGAAGCTGCGAAATGATACAAGTGAGCCATCTTGAATGCAAGAATTGACAGATCCTTGGCAAGGTAGGCTGCGCAAGCTTCGTTGCGTGCCATATGGTGCCCCCTCCCTCCAAGCCGAGCCGCCTGCTTTCCGAGATGGTGTTTTCGCAGAAGCAGGACATGTCTTTACATGTGACTGACGTGACTGACCGGCGTGACGCCATTGAGGGCGGGGCTTGCGCCAGCCAATTATCATCGCGTCAAAAAGGCGGTGCTCCGCGAACCTTGTATGGAACGTTGTGTGACGAGAGGTTTCCTGTGTGGAACCGCGCTAATATGCGAGAGAACCCTGGTTGTCACCAGAGTCGGTAAAATCGTGGAGCTGTGTGTCTTCTTACCATGTTGAATCCTTTCTTGGTGGGTGGCGACAGTCTGTTCATGTTGGTCATGAGTGTGTCCATAGCTTTGTCGACGTTGTCTCCTAGCTCGGGTGTCCTGTAATAGAAATCTCTGAAATCGGTAAGGGGCGACTCAACATGTTTTCGATTGAACACAGCCCAGAAACAGAGAAAAAGATCAGAGCGTCAGTGTTTGGGTTAATAGGTTTCAAGGAAATCGATACCTTCTCGCAACGTAGTCCATGATTTTTGGAACGTTGTTTGGGATCTTTATGCGGCCATTTTCAATGTCATTCACAGCAGCCACCATTTCGTTCTTAGTCCTGTCCGAGAGCTAAAAAGGCTGTTCAGAAATCTGTAAAGGTCGTCGTACATGTAGGGCCAGTAACATCGTAATCTGGCGGGACGGCATCGTGAGATGTGGAATGAGCCTACCCCCAGCTGCGTTACCAGCGGTGGTCGGGTCAGGTGGAAAACAAGTAGTGGTTAAACGGCGCGGTTGGGCTCATTCCGCGGCTTGTGACATTGCCCGTCGGATCGCTACGATATCAGCTATCAACGAACGACTGCGCCAAAAATTTGTCCATGTCCTGAATAAAAAGAGGCAATATGATCACGTGTCTCGAACGGAGTTAATCCCATACGTCCGCATCTAATACGTGTTCTACGTAAACGCCGCTTGGCGTTCCTGTGAACCTACTTTTCTATATGGGAAGTTAGATGAACATGCGGTGGTAATTCGTGTGGGTGGAGTTGCAGTTGATAACGCCGCAATCAGGTCGCAACCAGCCGTCTCCCGCTACGGTGTTTCCACCATTGGTTGTTTTCTTCCCGCTTTGATCACTACCCGATCGCCATTGGTGGACAAGGTTAACGAAGGTGGGCTCATC